AATGAGTCACATTTGGCAATGAATAAGGGATAAAATTATATAAATTTCAGCATTTTTTCCTCATACAGTGCCTGGACAGTCTGACAGTTTAATAATGGTCTTGCAAGACCCTTAAAATTGTAAATGTGAAAAAATTTTCAGTGTCGTTTTTTTCACGTTTTTACACAAGTTATGTATATCACACATATGCCACAGTTGTCTGAAGCCATTTTTTTTTTTACAAATGATCTCAGTTGGATAGACACACTCCGTATGGCTTTCTGCACATCTTTTCATCATTTTCTACAAAGCTTGACAAAACTATGCAACAACACATGCCATATGTCAGAACAGAAACAGTCTTTCTTCACCAAGACTTCTTTTTCTGTTTGCAAATGAGACATTTCACCAAACAGTTAGGGTGCATTTGATTATGGAGATTCTCCGACCTCACAATTGAAATCTTGAACTCAGTTCATTGCATTGATTGGAGGACAAAACCAAACTAAAAACGTATTTTCGCTCCAAGCATCAGCCTTTCTTTGGTAGTGACACGGCGTGACAAACCTTTAAAAAGAGCAGATATTTGATGTGCAGTTGTGTGTTGCGCGGTTACCGGCGAGGATTGAGATTGTGGGGTGTCAGAGTAAGATTTTCAGTCTGTTAAGAGGTATCGGTGTGGAATTGTGCTGCGAGGCTTTCAGTTAAGTGCACAAATCCTTTAGATTAATCCAAAAGCAGTTATTGAGCTCTCTGACAAGGCCATTATGAGACCTTCTCACAGAAATAGTTCTTTCCTCTGCCTCTTTATGGTCCCTTTGCCACATGTCAGGTTCTCACGTCTTATTGACTTGAAAGTTTAAAACTGGAATTATTTACGAGGTCAACCTTAAAACACATTGCAATAGACACATATTATCCCTGCTGAGGTAATGAAGTGGAAGCAATAGAAGGAAGGGAAAGAGAAAATCTCAAAAGATCTGAAGATTGAAAGAGATGAAACACACAAAAGGCAAGCACACAAAAGAAGGAGGTAAATGGAGAAGATATCTGAATCGAAAAGAGAGAGACAGAGAGAATAGAGTGTTGGCAGATTGAAGTGTACTGGGCATTCGATAGCAAGATACTATACTCTAAAGGTTAGAGTGGTGCCAAGAAGGATTGATTCAGCAAGCTGTACTTGACACAAGCCTCAGCGCTCACTGAAATAATGTGTCTGTGGCAAATCAAGGCCATGTCTACAAAATCATCATGCTGACATCAAGCCATCTTAGTGCCAGGGAAACACAACCTGCGGGACACTCCAGGCGATGTGCTTTCACAGGCTGGCTCGCCTAAAAGTAGTTCAACCTGGTCTTGGAAAAGTGTCAGCGTTTCCTGCAGATTGCAGGATAATAGGGCAGATAATAGGCTAAAGTGATCCTTGATCAGAACAAGCAAGGTAATTCTCAACCACTTTCTGTTTCCCCGCAGTGCTGCTGTTGGGGATTTTCCTGTACACACGCTGGCGGAGCTATAAGGGGCTGAAGGAGGGCGTATATCACGTGTCTGCGCACCATGACGGATGGGAGGACATTCGAGAGAATGTGCTCAACTACGACGAGGAGGGCGGCGGGGAGGAGGATCAGGTGAACGCATGACTTCTGTTTCAAAATTGATTTCAGATCACAGGTCAGAGAATCCGACGCCTGCTTCTGACACAGGAGGACAAGCGAGCACTCAAAGTTACTATGACAACTTGTACAGGTTGTCATGCTTCCCCGTCGCAGCGAGGCACCCTTGTCAGTTTATCTCTATGACAACCTCTAACATTTAAAAAATGCATACTGATGTCGATGACAAGAGGCTTCACTGAGTGCAGAGAGAAAGTGAGACAACTCGTTTTGTTCGAAATGTGTCTTTTTATTTTCAGAAACCCACCGAATAAAAGGTTTGGGGTGTTTGATGTAACCGCCCGCTCCTCTGATCTATCTGAAGTATGTGGGTGTAGATATGTAGATATGCTTAGTGGTGCTCTGATACTCTCCATCTGATGAGGCTTCACACATCTTCCTCATCATGTAATCAATTACGCCCACATCCATGTCACCCACACCTCCCTCTCTGTCTCTCATTCTCCTCCTCCTCTTCGTCTATTTTTTCCTCAAGGGGCATTATATGTTTATCTTCCTCCCCAGAGAGCTGCACCGCTAAATAACGAGAGGAATCATCCTCGGTGGAATGGGATTAATGTTGACGCTCAATGGGAGAAGGGGGCCGGTGTCTTGTTTTGTTGCGTTGACTGTGTGTAATGCCGGTCTGTGCTCTTCACTGTGTCTGTCAGGATTCTTCCTCTCAGGTGCAGGAAGATGCACACAAAGGTGTTAATCAGACTGCGGCGTTAGCAGCTTGAATCCGGATTAATGCCATTAACAGTTTGGGGGATAATAAATTACAGGATGAAGAAGTACAGACAAGCAGCTTATTTTGTCAGTGAGCTCGGTCTTATTAGTCGTAGCAGTTTTTGTGGCAGACGTTGTTGTTGTCATTACACCAGTTCCTAAACGTAATGGCACATTATGTAATGCTAATGATCTTCTTATTTGTCAGCACTTTATGCATTTCATTTCCCCCTCTCTCGCTCTCCTTCAGAACGCCTATGACATGGCAGAGCTCCAGAAGTCCCTGCAGCCCAGCCCGGCCCAGTCGGTGCAGTACAGCTGGTCGCGAGCCCTCCACCACCACCCTCCCTCCCAGCAGCAACAGCAGCAACACTTTTGCCAGCCTGACCCCCCCTCCAGAGCGGGCACGGCCACCACCACTTCCTCCATCTCCTCGGGAACAGCCACCATCCGAAGGGACGTACCCCCCTGCCGCTCTCCGGCTCAAGGCCAGACTGCAAATCCCAGCCGAGCGGTCCAGCTGGCCCGCAAGAGCTTGTCGTTCTCCAGCCAGGACCTGGCCCGCTACCTGTGTGAAATTATCCGTGATGCCGACCAGCACCCGGAGACGGCGCCCTT